AAACAGCCTAGATCTGTTGTTTTCTTCATCGACTTCGCATTTTCCTGGTCGACAAATTACTAGTAACTGAGTTCTAACTCACAATTTTAAATATTTAGTCCGAGTGGTTCACCCAAAAAGGAGTTTGACGTAACAGCAGAAAGATTTTCACATTCTACGAAACGGTACGTTCATAGGGGCCGTATTTTGATACAACTTTTTAATGGTGGTTAATCTGTAAATTAACTTCTTCTACAGGTGAAATGTCTACAATTCCGGTTCGCGGATTCCGAATTCGAACAATCGGCGGCCTTCGTTACGGAGCAGCTGCAGCGGTGAACCCCGTCAATCTTGGTGTCATCCCACAAAGGTGTGATTGTTTGACAATAGAAAAAAAGTATTACTGCAAGAAAATCAGAGATAGAATGATCGATTGCGACTCTAGAAGGGAACGTAGTAATCTAAAAACAACGATATACGGAGCTTTCATTCTTTACGTTTCACTTGAATCAAGGGATTCACGAATCACCAGCATAATGTAATATATTGCCATTCTAGCCGACCCGTATCCACTTCACATATCACATCTCTGATCGGTAATTTGTCAAAATGTGAACTTCGTCCTGTAGCTGTCGTTCAAGGCACGAGATCGTTCTGCTCAGGTAAGCTCCCTCAAAACAGAATATTGCCCTAATACCACGCAATGGCACCGATAGGGAGAACGTCTGTTGCGCGCGTCCGTCAAAAGTAGGTCACCCCGCCCACTTCGCGCGCGGCGCACCCCAAGTGAGGTTTTGGCATGACATTACAGTACCACCAAGTGTCAGTCGAGCGAATGATTTGCATTTGTCCGCGTTATCTTCTCTTTGGCTGACTGCCGTGGACCAAGCGCAAAGCGTATGCCCCACTTGCAACTGCGACGTCTGTCAAGTGTCAATTGCTGACCCGCCACATGCGACCGCTGCGGCGTGACCTAGTTTCGACGGCCGCGCGCAATGAAGCGCACCCGCACCGATAGTAGCTTGTGAGGAATTAATTAGACTGAAATATAACAATCAGACAAAAAATAATGTATAGGAGTTGAAAACGAAATCGTAACTCCTACTACTCCTACAGAGTAACTTCTTTGTCCTCGCCATCGCGTTCGCAGTGGAAGAAGCAGGCACGCGCGCCTTTCGCGAACTATAAACGCTCTCCGCCTGAGCCTCAGATCCGAGCTTAGGCATCGGATTTCAAAAAAAAACTGGCCAAGTTTTAGATTCAGAATGTAGTAGCTCTTTAAAGTTGCAGGAGGACCGGATTTTGTGAGATTCTTTATCCACCTTCCTTTGGTTCTTCTCTATAGCCTAGAAAAAGCGATCTGTGCATATTACACCCATTCCCATCCATCTTTCTTGTATATTTCACATTGTCTCTTTTTTTTTTAAATGTCAAAAATCACTTTTTAAGGCAAACTCCCACCACACAAACGTATTGCGTTGCCTGCACTCTCTCCTACTATGGAAACCGGTAACGTAGTCAGTTGGCAAAAGGTGATGTAACAACGATTCTATTACAAATTGTTTGATTCATTTTCAAAGAACACTGAGCAGTAATCAATTATTTGCGAACTGTTGATGAACGAGATGAACGGTCGTTGTTGCCTTTCGGTCCCACAATGCCCTACCCCTTGCCTCGTCCCCGATT